ACGATGCCTGTGTTTTCCGACGATCAGCATTGCACGAAAGAGTAAACACCGGAGATGGATTTTTCAGCTGTGGCCATATTTTGGGTGATAGTGCCTACCCATTATCTGAACATTTGCTTACACCATATCGAGATAACGGGAATCTCAACAGCGTGCAAAAGCTGTATAATAATAAATTAGCAAAGTGTAGAAATGTAATTGAGCGTGCTTTTGCACATCTTGTTGGACGGTTCAGGCGATTAAAATTTTTAGACATGTGTCGAATGGATCTGATTGTAAAAACAATTATTGGTGCATGCATTCTTCACAATATTTGTATACAAACTTGCGACGTAATACAAATAGATGATGATTTTGATGACCAAGAAAGTGAAGAAACTGCAACGCATCAACCTGTACGAAAAGCTACAACAAAGCGTGATGACATTGCAAATGGAATGTTTGTAAGATCTTAAAAACTGAGGAAAAATTCAAGTGGAATTTGAAATTACATTTGGAACATTTTTAGACCCTTCATATCTGGACTTTACAGCAGTTTTGTTGTAAGATTTTAAAAAGTTGAGAATATTTAGATAAGTGTTCACTCTTCTAAATATTTTACTGACCAAATACAATCTAGTTTCTACAATTCAGAATATTTGTTTCAATATCTATGTTGTTATATATTTCTTTCTTTTTCTTTATACTGTATTTATAACTTATAAAAGATTCTTTATATGATTTTGTTCAATTATTATTACATATGTGTTGTACATAATTGTATATATAATCAGTACTTAATAAAATTGTATAATATATAATAAACTTTTTTATATTTTTATGATGTATTTACGTAATGTTATGAAAACAGTACTATAATTTTAGAAATTCTTAAAATGCAAATAGATGAAACAAGAGTGTTTATTGAAATGATACAATTTCTTGAGAAGTCATTTATCACATATAAGTGAAAATTCCTTCAAGTACACAACTTATGTAATTTTGGATTATTAATGTAGTTCATTTCTTTACAATTTGTATAATGCCCTGAACACAACAGTTTAGAAGATTCCAAATGTACATAAGGTAAATCCCACTTTTAATCATAAACAATTAGCTGCTTTAGATCCATCAAGTAAAAAGACAACTTTCTGAAATCCAAGATTGTCATATTCTAATGTAATAAAACTAATGAATATGAAAATTCTAGTTTTGATATCATGATTAAATTAGTAGTAATATGATACTTGTTTAGAATGAATTGACTTTTAAATAGTATGAAATAATAATAGTTTGTTTAATTCAATACTTAAGGCAAATATTTCAAAACACAATTGAAGTAAAATGAAAATTTTATTAAAAGCTGCCATATCACAATATGTTTTTTTTATACATTTATAGAATAGTTTAAAGATTATAGTTTATCAACTAAGTTTTCTAAAATCCCGTACAGTTTCTTTCTCTCTTCTGCCCTTTCCTTTCGTCTCTCATCCATCTTATTAGTTAAAATTTTAACCCATTCAGGCACACTTTCTTCTCGTTTTCTTTTATTTCTTCTATTTGAAGGCTCTGCAATCATTGTAGGTGATGATGATGAGTCATTTGATGGTATCTGTATTAGACTAGATGATGATGAGTCACTTGATGGTACCAGTATTAGACTGGAAGACGATGATGAGTCACTTGATGGTACCTGTATTAGATTAGAAGACATTGATGGTTCATTTGCTGGTGTCAGATTAGATGACATCAATCCTCGACTGCTATCGTACGTGGCAAGTGGAGTTACATCTGGTCTTCGCCCTATTACGTCCTCCATAATACTGAAGTATTCCCAATACTTCCTGTTGTTTCCCGTCTTATTGTTGTAATCATTTATTTTTTTAAATGTCTTTTTTAATCCTCTCCATTTGCTGTCCACTTGTTGAATTGTCACCATTATCTTACCTGTCGAATTTAATTGATCACAAATCATTGCCCATACCTATAAATGAAAATTTTTAGCTGTTATTCCATATAAAAAAAGTTTAGAAATATTCTCAATAAATTAGCTGACAATCTCTTAGTCACATTGTATTTAGGGTTTTTTTTCACTTTTTGCAAAAGGACATCTTTAACAACAGTTGAAAATATAGCATAACTGCATATAGTGATTATGCAATTTATTTGGAGCAAACACAAAACACATCTTACTAAATAAAATAATAGAAAATTAAACAATTACAAAATTAATACAGAACTGCTTGTCTTTTGTACACAGTTGAATGAAGTATGAGTAGATAATGACAATTTTCCTAAGAAATAATTAACCTATAATAGTTGTCCTGCNAGCAATGGCGACATCAAACAGTGCACACTCGGTAAGTAATCCTACAATTTTTTGTTTATAGCATACTTTATACGGATTATTCCCAAAAAAATATACATGTTTTGGAAATGTTGAGTCGAATTAGTCTAGGAATCAATTAATTTTATGGAAGAAAACTTTTCAAACAGCCGTAGTCCGTAAAGTGCATACATGCCGGGCTGTGATTGGCAAAAACTCATACAAAATGGATTCATAAAGAACGGAATGTATCTATCGTGTTATAGGGGGGTCGACTGTAATAATTGCAAGATTATAATTTCTACAGAATAACAATGATGATATGTTTTTAAGGTATAATTTTGAAAAATTAATACAATATAGTTAATATTTTTAAGTTATTTCCAAAAATACATTAGTTACTAATGTTTAGTTTTATTTTTAAATTATTAGAAGGCAAAAGAACTTGGAATTCATCGTACAGTTCATGCAGGGGAAGCAGGACCTGCATCAAATGTATCTATAGCTATACATGAAATGTATACAGAGAGAATTGGTCATGGCTACCACATTTTAGAGGATGAAGCAATTTATGAAAATGCTCTTTCATCAGGGATACATTTTGAAATTTGTCCATATTCAAGTTATTTAACAGGATCAGTTTCTCCAGAAATTACACATCCAGTTGTGAGGTAACTCAAAAATTTTTTTAAATATTAAAAAATTAATTTATGATATTTGTTGCTATTATTAGAGAGAAAGTGTTACAATAATTTTTTTTTTCGAGTCTGCGGGCACTAAAAAAGTTTTTTTTCATATGGATTGCCAAGGTTATAAAGATGTCAGTCTGCCACTTGGAGAGCTATAGATTAAAGTTCAGATCAGATTTTCATAAATTTTTTTGAATAATTTGATTTGGATATCTAGCTGATTGACTCCATTATGAACTTAGTTGAACCCCTAACAGGAATCAAAAAAGATCATTTTAATGCAAAATAGAAAAGAGTTATTAAAAAAAGAAAATATACAATTTGGCTTAGAAATATACACTCTTGTTTATAACTGTCTTGTACAATACATAATAATTATTAATAAAATTTTAAATATATTTTTTATTTTCAATGTTATTTTTCTTATTTTATAGTAATATTACATTTAGTTAATCTATAATTTATTCATTAAAAAATGTATTTATTGAGCAGTAATTTGAAAAAATTGTAGATCTATTAATTTCCACTGTCATTTCTCTGTTTGTCTGTCCTTCCTTAATCTGAAGAATTGTGTTATATAGATGAAAGTTGAAACCAGATATGGAAATATTAGGGGCAGGTGGTCCCAATTAACTACATATAAACTTCCAGTGTAGACTGGAAGTCACATGATTTCAATCAAAAAATTTTCTTCAGAACTGAATTAAATAGATGACTGGCATGATGCTGTCGTTATTAGGAAAAGTATGATGTACAGGAGCAAGACACTACTAATTTGAGATGAAGAGCATATACAGTATTTTAAATCAAATAAATTAAAAATATGCTTAAAAATTGCAACCCAGCATTGTGGCAATGTCACAATAATTTTTAAAGTATTAAAATAACTATTTACTTAAAGAAACTATTTTTCCATTAACTAGCACTTTAGAAGTTTGATAATCCAGCACCTGATAGTTCAGCACCTGAAGTAGGTCTTGGTGAAGGTCGAAAACGTTTGGTAGTTTGGTTCAAGTTCAGTTACAGGTTAAAAAAAGTTTTGTTTGTGGCGGTTCAATCCAGCACTTAAATTAATAATCTATGATAATCTGGCACCTTCTAAAATATAGCCAATAATCTGAAATTGTCCAATAATAATATGGTGTGTTAGTATTCTGCAAATTAAAATTTGTTTGGACACATGGTGCACTAAAGACTCTGGATGGAAATCATAGAAAAGATGGGATAGTTGTGTACATTGCTATGTGTTAGGAGATCATCATCTCAAGAACAGTTAAGAGAATCTCAAATTTCTATGCAGTGTAATTTGGTAAACTGTACTTACAAGGGGAGGGCACAACCTGGGAAATTCACTTCGAGATGAGACTTGATATATAGGTACTCCTTTAGGGTGTTCAACCCTCAAAACAAGAAAGTGCAATGGCCAGCCAATTTTGAGAAAAAAGCCTTTAAAAATTTGAGGTCAGCTTATGTACTAATAAATTTCACTAGGTTGGCAGTTGCTGAGCAGCTCAGTCGATAGTGTTCTTGGCTACTGCCAAGTCATTCAGGGTTCAAATCTCAGTCTCTATTATTATTTTTATTTTTATTTTTTTTCTTTCTCCTATGACTCATTGTATTTTTTTCTGAATACATTTCTTCTTCTATTTTTACAAGAACGATTAAAAATAAAATAAGCCATATAACTGTTGCAATAACCGAAAGTTATCGAATTCTAATTTTAAAAATTGTAAAGCGTACTTCTCCTTCAGGGAAGGTAGTTATGTAAGGAAGCCTAACAAAAAGGGGCTGTGTGATAAAACAATTTTAAACCAGGAAAAAAGCGTGTCTATTTTTAGATAGTCACTTAAAGCTTACAATTTCTCCTTCTGTCAACTGTTTAAAAATTTAATATAAATCATCGCCTTTCGTTCTTCGGTTTCTTTGACATCCATTTATTACTGTTTAACCTCTTTTTGAGCTGCGGTGTATCTTTTATCCAAGTTTTCGCCATCAAGCATCTAACGCTTGACAAGTGTTGACAAATTCGACACAAAAGATGGATTTTTGTGGGATAAACGATAGAAACATCGAAAAAATCTAATTTTGTAATAAAAATGTCTTTTATAGGCTACAAATGATGAACCTAATACAAGTAATAAGTTGATACGAACAGTTTTTATTAAAATAAAAATCTATTAATTAACTTTAAAGACTTATAAATATAAAATTAATTTTATGCTATTGTTTTTATACTTTTTCTATATTTATTTGTTTGCCTATTATCTTTATTTTTTTTATTTTTGCTGATTTTCTGGACGATATTGATGTTGATTTTTCTTCATCAACTGAAGTAAATCTTGATTGATTTTCTTTTATTTATAAACAGAATGTAACGCTTTTACGATTTATTGAAAGGAACAGATTCTATTGAAGGAGTACTAAAGTCGAAACTCTCCTGTTTATATCGAATAGATTTTGGTTCCTGTCAAATTTAGAAAAGATTGATGCGATTTGAATTTTACTATTGATCGATTTTAGTATCAGATTCGATTTTCTCGCGTCAAAACAAAATCAATATAGAATCGAGAAAAATTAAAGTGATAACTTTAACGTATAAAAATAAACTAAGGAAAAAAATTTATTTATAAAAACTGAAATCCCGATAATATAACCATTTAATGATATTTTAAAGCTTGAGTTCCTCCCAAATTTAAAAATGATTTGATCATTATTGCTAATGCTATACCAATTTATTATATAGAAACTTTATTTATTGATTTATTATGTATAAAACTTTTACGATTACTTCTAAAAGCAAAAGAAAAATGATCAATTAATTATTATCGATGTGTACCTTAATCAAAAATTATCTTTATTTAAAAGATATTTTTATAAAAATTTAAAATTATGAATTAAGTGTAGATGGAAGATTTGATAATTGCTTATTATCATTTTTAAAAATATTTTTATAGTTTTGCTATTTTAAACTACAAGATAGTTTATAGTTGTTATATTTAAAGATTTTTTTCCCAAATAGATTAAATTCTGTATCCATCTGTAACGGTTGTTTTGCGTGATTTGGTCGCTTTTCCTCCACATTTCAGGATATGTCGTGTTATTCCAGAGAGAGAAAGATGCCGGAAACTCGACGTTGTCCTAGAAACGCTAAGAATTGAGGAAATGAACACTCCAATACTAAGTTCGTTCGGAATAACAGAGTTCGGAGCACATACTAAATAAAAATCAATCAAAATCAATATATTTGCTGTCACATAAGCTATGTAAACAACTATACATCATCATAATCAATCGGTATGAGTTTATATGAGGCCTGTAGGCCTATATTTTGGTATTGTCAGTTTGTATATATCGTGCGTGATATTATGAGAATAGTAGAAAAGCCACAATTATGTGGCATTCCTGGCGTGCTTAGCTGAGAAATACCCCTTCCTGTCACGTGATTCGGGTGAGTTGTTCTCTATCTTGCTTTTTTATATCAGTGAACAATTTTGTTGTAGAATATATGCTTTTCTTGAAGTTAGAAACGAATATTTCCGAACTAAATTTCTTCGTTACATAATACGAGTTGGATTCTAAAACATAATGAGTTGGATTTTAATGAAAGTTAGATGCCGCGTATAATACTTTTTATAAACCTGTAAATGTTGAAAATATAGCGTTAACTAAAAAACTATAGAAATATATAAAAGAAGATAGGCTAGTAGAGGAGGCAATGGAAAATAAAGGCGATTTAGACACGCTCCGAGTACTTTCTTCGGGCGTTTATCTAAATCTGATNATATATATATGTATATATATGTCAATGATTTGAAACTGTCATATTAAAATATTAAATAAACATTTAAATTATTCTCTTAATACATATATATCTACATATAATACCTGGATTTACTGTAACAGATACATTTTTGGTAACCACGTTTTCTTTTTCTTTGTTCTTTTCAATTGTATCTACACTTTCTGAAGAAACAATTGAATCAAACTTAATTTTTTTAAAATTGACATCTGCTGGTAATCCGAGTTCTTCCTCCATACCATATTCATATATCAATTTCTGGAAGAAGGCATCTACCGCTATTGAACCTTATTAAAAAAAAAAGTGTAAAGATCATTTCAAACCTTTCATACAATAAATAATTAAAATTTACCATTAGAAATATTTTCTGCCGTGTCTTTTTCCATTAACAGTTGTAATTTCATTTGTTCGTACGAGAAACACACTTTTGTCATGGGAGCAGCCATGTTGAATCAACGCCAAGCTCGACAACGAACTAGCTAGCACTCCGAGCTTACCAATTTCGCTAAACATGACGTCACATAACTCTAAAGTAAACGCCAATGAGCGTGGCACTCGGACGAAAGTATACAGGCTGAATGTGCTGATAGCAAAATTAGCTCAGAAGTAAACGCACCCTAAGTGACTCGTACAACATGGAATTATCTACAGTGTTATGGGGGGGGTGGGTCTACTGTAATTATAATAATACAAAATAATTAATAAGTATATTAATAATAATAGTTATAAATGGTTATTATAGGAAATAAAATGTTTAGATTGTGTTATTTGTTACTTTTACATATATTTTTTATTACATACAATTACCTGAATGATAATTATCATAGAAACATGGGAAACAATACATTTTTTGGCATCTAGCACAACAAATAAATGACAAATGCATACAAGAGCATTGCTCTTTCAGAAGATCAGTTGGAAAGCAAACTTCATTCACATTCATGAATATTTCTCTGTTTCAGCAAGTTTAGCAGCGAACCAAGCATATCTAATCATTTTATCAAAAATTGGCAATGATAATTGATGATGAACTATTGATTATATTTTAATAGTCTTCTCGAGAATTTATTTCTCAATTTTGTTTGATTAAATAAGCAGAATTTTGAAAATTTTTTATTAGATTTTTTACTTGTCTATAAAAATAGACATCACAAGGTTGAACGAGAGCAGTACACTTTGGAGG